TAGAAATGACAAGATTTCTTTATTCTCCTTTTCCCAAAATATATCAGGGACAACTGCCCATCTTCATTGCTATGACTGATGCCCTGATCCCGGCCGTATCATTTTATCTTTAACATTAATTGAGGAGTAATTCTTTGTTGTGGGGGTGGTTGTTCTGTATACTGCAGGATGTTAGCAACATTCCCGCCCTTGCTACACACACCAGTGGCCAGTAGTGTGCCCTCCCTAACCACTTGTGACAACCAAAAAATATCTCCAGACATTGTCAAATATCCCACATGAGCAAAATCATCCAGTGTTGAGAACCACTACTTTAACATCCATAGAAATCCATTAAATGTTCATTCTTCAAAACGTTTCAATCCTTTTTCCAATTATTCCAGAACCCCTTATGACAGATTCAATCAAGAGCATGCAGTGTTTATTTTGCCTATTTCATTTGCCCAACTCAAAGTGCCTTTCCTCTCACACTCTTGCAGTTTGTCATTTCATAGAGTCATTCACAGCACAAAGACTCCTATGGGTAATTTCACACCTTCATACGATCACTGCATTTTGTTGACACTTTTTTCTTCTCAGCATTCGTTATGGTCTTTCTCTTCCAATGGCCCAAGTGCTGAAGTTCTTCAGTGTTGTCTCTGCAGTCCTCATTTTCACTTGGTCTATATTCTCTAGGATGAGGTCTTTTACTCTTTTTGCTTCATCTTTTGCAGCAATGACCACCACCACCCTGGCTCCAAAGGTGTATCTCCAGGATGATCTATCTCCCGATCCATTAAATAGTTTTCCAACTAATAACAAAACAGCTACAGAAGAACCTAGACAGCTCTCAAAATCAATAGGTCCAGAAAACATTTATTTCTCCCCTGTCCAAACTCTTTCTCCTATCTTCTTTTCTTAATAAATTTCTTTATTATAAACCAAATACCACAAACAAAAAACATAGAATGTCCCTTATCCATTCACGTAACCTGTCTTCTTCCCTTCCCCATTGTCCTAACCTCCTCCGAGTCCATTCTGTTGAACTATGGACTCCTTGCCTCCAGTCCGCCCTGTTTCTGGTCTAGATTCATCTTCCTTTTCTCTTTAAAACACAACCCTCCTTCTAAGTCTTTGACAGCTCTCCATTGCTTATCACTAGACTCCACAATGTGTTCCATGGCACCTTCACAACCAGGCCACATCTGCCTTCCCCTTTGCACGTCTGTCATTCCAGCCATACCAGTGCATGCATCGTTCACTAATGTGTCCTTCAGTCGGGCTTCAGGCAGAAAACTGAAACCATTTCTAGGTATTTCAACAGAGAGAAATTATTAAAGCAAATGGCTTAAAAAGTATTTGAAATTTTAAAAGGAGAAGAGGATACTGAAGTAATTCCTGTCTTCAGTAATTCATGGGAACTTTCACCATACATTTTTTTTAAATGGAAAATGTTATAATTTATAAAAAGTTAGCAGGAAGCATCTATCATTCTGGGGCTGAGGGATTGCAGGAAAGAGGATGGGAGTCATCAGAAAGTAAAAGTTTGGATGAAAGGGACCCCCCCAGACCTGAAACCTGCACCTCTAAGGAGGAGTAATGGCTGGCTGCTGCAGGTGCCTCTGAAATGCTGAGTAGAGCCTCCTCAGAGCTGAGGCTTAAAGCTCCAGGGAAGGGATGCTGACAGGCTGGTAGAGGAATGTCTAAGGGTGAGATGAAGCTGGTTATGAATAAAGCTTAACGCTGGAACCACATGTTGCTGTTGGTGTGAAGGGCCATTGCTTGGCAATACTGTTAGAAGCACCATCAGACAGGATCAAGGAAACAAGAGTTTCCATGCCTCCTACCTTCTCTACTCCCTATAGTGCTCCCTATTGGTGGGATCCAGCAGACTACTTGCAGAGTTCTGGCCTCAACATCAGAAGGGTGGATTTAGAGTTGAGACAATTGCATAATAACCAATACAATACACTTTCACATCTCCTTGCCTTTACTCATGCAGTTTCCCTATTTATAATGGTCTTCCTACCCATATCTGTCTGATAAGTGCCTTTGTTCAAACACAATCTCTGTTTTATAATCTCCCCTAATCTTGCCAAAAGTAATTATTTACACCATCATTTGAGTTTCCCTAGTAATTTGTAAATACTTATTTTGTAGATTTTTTATATTGTCTCAGAATGTGTGTTTGTTTATTTTCCATTTATTTTCCACCAAACCGTGTACTCCTTTAGGGCAGTTACAACCATGACATCTAGCTAGGTGCCTGGCATGAAACAGATATTGGATAAGCTGGATGAAATTGATAAGATCATTTTAATGAAATTAATATTAGATCATTTCTTTTAGATATTTTATCATCCCAGCCAGATTTGAACTCCATTAAGGGCAGAAATCATGCTTTATATTTCTTTTATTTTCTTTGTGGGGTTTAGTACAAGGTTGAGCACACTGAAGAAGGGTTCAATGATATTTGTTAACCCCCTAGTTTGTTCATTACCACAATTTTGGTTCAAAATGGCATGAAGATGAAGCATGAGTTATGAATATCAGGTAAGATCCATAATTAGGTTTAGATGTGCTTTTAGCACATGATTACAACAGTTAGAGAGCACTGGATATATGGTAAAGTTCTGTATTTGTTGGAGGACCAGCACAATGAAGAGACCAAATGCAGTATGTTTTATAGTGAATTCTAAATAATGAAATATATTGTATGTTTCATTTTTGTCTATTTGTCTCCTACAGAAAATACATCCTGCCAATCCATGAGATTACTAATCCTGGGCTATATCTGTTCCTAGTGTATTTATTACATTTCTCACAATTATCAAAATCAACTAGTAATTGTTTAAATGTAGGAAAGATATCAAATTTTAATCATCAGCTTCTTGAAAAAAAGAAATCTCTGCTCAACAGCTGATTTATATTCACGTCCAAGAAGAAGAAAAATAGCTTTTTTTTTTTCTAAAGGGGAGTGATATGTAATTAACTATTGATTTCTTCTCAATTATTCAGGCAAGCAATTATCAATATTGATGGAACAGATATTTCCCTACCTCTAGTACCCAAATGAAAGGAAATATCCCATTCAGCAATCTGCTGCCTGAAACAAGAAATGCTGAGGATCTTTAACTTTAGATGAAAACAGTTATTTGGATCTGTTTGTTCCACGTGGCCCCAATTAAACATACTTCTTCAAGTGTAAGCAAAATTAAAAATCCTGAAAACCTACGTAAGCTTTTAAAGCCAGAAAACAAGGGCTTTGTCAGTTTTGACCATGAGGCTAACCACTTTACACTTGTGGACTTTGCTTCACAACTACAGATCTTGACATTTTTAGCCATGACTCATAAAGTACTATAATTTGTTTCTAATATTATGATTTCTAAGCCACTCAATAAGAGGTAGCTTATATAATCATTGGAAATCATGGAACACTGCCTTGCATGTCAATATTTGAAGCCTGAAGGATTTAGTAGGCCTTAATAGTCACTTCTGACATTTACAGATGGCAAGCGTGGATACATTTGAAAATTATGCCAATACACTATGCAACTGTGTTAGAGGTCAGCAAGGAAATGTTGAGGAAGGCCATAAAACAGTGCCCTATTTAGGGCACTCTGTTATTAAACATGTGGGTATCCAACACCATCTTTCACACACAAAGCACTGGCATACTTCTGTATAAGAAACTTCTTTTGAAATTGACATGACTGTTGAACATAATTAATGGGCAAGGCAACATTCTCTATTGAGTTACTACTTTTAGGGTAGAGTTATTTTCTTTTAATACTTTGTTCTTAATAGTAATATGAGGTATGTCTATATGAGAGTGTAGCGTGTTGAACTCATGTGGCAACCCTGGGGAAATCTCACCATACATTTTTTAAAAATGGAAAATGTTATAATTTATAAAAAGCTACTTTTTCTGCTCTGTCCCCCACCTCCCATTCCAGAGGGGTTCTATATGTTAAGTGAAGCAGCATATGTTTCTTGGGAAGTGTTCTTGGCTGTTTTACTCTTTGTTGTTGTTTTAGTTTCCCTGGGTTCTATTTAACATTCTGCTAAATCAGTGAAACAGTGATTATCTAAATGAATAGGAGACATGGAATTAATGAGGTTAGCCAGAATTTTGAAGAAATAGGAAATTATTAGAGGTGAAAGTTACATGACAGGGGCTGTGAATGAATTCTAGTTTCTGAAATTGCTTGTCTTGATTTATTCAAAGTGATTGTATTAATTGATAGACATAATGAAATTTTGGTAATCGGGATTTCACCATTGCATTTATTACTATTCCCAGAAATCGTGGTAACCTTGGGCTCTACTTGCCATATTTACAAGGTGATAAAAGTCCTTAATAGGCTGTCAGGGACAAATGTGACTGCTTTTCCTCACACTCCTCCCATGAAACAAGCTTTCTCTCTTCCCATCTGGCTGCCGCCTGCCTGGAGCATGCTACTTTCCCCGTGTCCCCATCCCCTAACCCCCATCCCCATGCCTCCCAGTGGGCTCTGTCTTCATGCATGCGGCGCTGGAATCACTCACCGACAGAATGGCCCACCCCTTAGAGGTTTTTGGTTATTTTAGCAATACCGCTTTGCATTTTAAATACCATTCATCTGGCTTCAAAGATCTGCACTCTTGCATCGGGCGCTTGTTTAAAAACCCAAGAGGTCACAACAGGTCCCAGTTCCATGAAGAAAAGATACTGGCAAACCAGAACTATTGCATTACTTTGTATTCGATAGCCTGAAATGGACAACGAGATAACATCCAAGATTGCAGCAAAAATCTATATGAAAAGGACTAATATGATAAAAAACAAAGGCAGAAAACTACATTTGTTTGGAAATTGGAGTCACAGGCTTCGTTTGTAGAGGGGAGGTGGGGGAGCACGAGATCGATAGCGAATTTTTTTTTTTTAGGCTGAAAACATGATGTGCCAGATGAACTTAAATTGATTCTGCTTCTCCTCCCCGCGCCCACCCACCCCTACCCTCCCCCTCATTCTGCAGCGAATGTCTGCGACAACGAGCTCCTGCACTGCCAGAACGGAGGGACGTGCCACAACAACGTGCGCTGCCTGTGCCCGGCCGCATACACGGGCATCCTCTGCGAGAAGCTGCGCTGCGAGGAGGCTGGCAGCTGCGGCTCCGGCTCCGGTCAGGGCGCACCCCCGCACGGCTCCCGCGCGCTGCTGCTGCTGACCACGCTGCTGGGGACGGCCAGCCCCCTGGTGTTCTAGGTGGCGCCACCGGCCACACCGGACGGGCCTGTGCCGTGGGGAAGCAGACACAACTCAAACATTTGCTACTAACATAGGAAACACACACATACAGACACCCCCACTCAGACAGTGTACAAGCTAAGAAGGCCTAACTGAACTAAGCCATATTTATCACCCCTGGACAGCACATCCGAGTCAAGACTGTTAATTTCTGACTCCAGAGGAGTTGGCAGCTGTTGATATTATCACTGCAAATCACATTGCCAGCTGCAGAGCATATTGTGGATTGGAAAGGCTGCGACAGCCCCACAAACAGGAAAGACAAAAACAAAAAACAAATCAACCGACCTAAAAACATTGGCTACTCTAGCGTGGTGCGCCCTAGTACGACTCCGCCCAGTGTGTGGACCAACCAAATAGCATTCTTTGCTGTCAGGTGCATTGCGGGCATAAGGAAGTCAGTTACAAGCTGCCATATTGGCCTGCTTCCGTCCCTGAATCCCTTCCAACCTGTGCTTTAGTGAACGTTGCTCTGTAACCCTTGTTGGTTGAAAGATTTCTTTGTCCGATGTTAGTGATGCACATGTGTAACAGCCCCCTCCGAAAGCGCAAGCCAGTCATACCCCTGTATATCTTAGCAGCACTGAATCCAGTGCGAGCACACACCCACTATACAAGAGTGGCTATAGGAAAAAAGAAAGTGTATCTATCCTTTTGTATTGAAATGAAGTTATTTTTCTTGAAATACTGTAATATGTAGATTTTTTGTATTATTGCCAATTTGTGTTACCAGACAATCTGTTAATGTATCTAATTCGAATCAGCAGAGACTGACATTTTATTTTGTCCTCTTTCGTTCTGTTTTGTTTCATTGTGCAGAGATTTCTCTGTAAGGGCAACGAACGTGCTGGCATCAAAGAATATCAGTTTACATATATAACAAGTGTAATAAGATTCCACCAAAGGACATTCTAAATGTTTTCTTGTTGCTTTAACACTGGAAGATTTAAAGAATAAAAATTCCTGCATAAACGATTTCAGGAATTTGTATTGCAATTTCTTAAGATGAAAGGAGCAGCCACCAAGCATTTCACACTCACTTTACTGATTTCTGTGTGGACTGAATACATTCAGCTGACGAATTTATTATCCAGGAAGATGGATTGATGTTCACTAGCTTGGACAACTTCTGCAAAATATGGGACTATCTCCACTTGGGAAAAATTACAAAAAAAAAAAAAAAAAAAAAAAAAAAAAAAAAAAAAAAAAAAAAAAAAAAAAAAAAAAAAAAAAAAAAAAAAATCCAAGTGATTGCCAAGATTATGCCAAAGCCTGTTGGCAGAGTACTAAGAGACTTTTATTTTTAAGTCATGCTATTTTCACAGATTGATGGTGATCATGTAACTCTAGGGATGCTGATCTATGTATCTTTCCAAATACAGTGTTTACATGGAGTATCATAAGAGGCAACCTGGGGAACCAGGAAAGGAGCAGGGAAATTGAGTGATTTTGCAATTTGGATTTGAATATATTTAGAGTTAAGTATTTAGAGGAAATATCAAAATATAAAGCAGCAAGTAGACATAACTGCTGTTCCTGAGAATAAAGTTTGTTTTAAGTACTGCCCAAGGTGTAATAAATTCTTGTTTCTGCCTTTTATTAGGCCAATTACTGTGCAAGACAGCAAGGGGAGGCAGGTGGGGAAGAACCTTCGCAAAGTTTCAAGGAGGCTAAAACAGTGTGCATGGCATTCCCAGCACACTGTTGTCCTACGGATTACAAATGTGTTAGCAGCAGCATCTCCTGGAATCAAAAACAATTATCAGCCCAAACCGGAGTCTTAAGGACAATGAAATTCTACATGACTTGCTAGAACAATAACCTATTATAGCCTAGTTCCAGTCTGAATTCTTCACCCTGCTGCCACTCCTTGCTGAAACAGGGAAGTGGGGAGGAATGCCTCCTGATAAATAACCTGGGTAAAAACTAGATGAAGGAACAGCATGTCTTATTGGTTTTGTTCCCAGAAAAGCCAATTCAAAGAAGGCAATAAAAGGTAAACAGGTAATGCCCGTGCTGCCTGCCACCCCACGTCTAAGTCTATTGAATATTTGTTATTCAAACCAACGGTCTCTTTTGATGTAAGAAATAAGAAAAGATGGAAATAAATTAGAGCTTAGGCTTAGTGCCAGAGTGGCCAACCAGAAATTGGAGATTTACACTGGAAGCATAAATAGAAAATTACATTTCAAGCTCACCAAAGAAACACATGAAAATGCTGATAACATAGGGAGTTTGAGATTATTTATAATGAGGTGGATTTCTAACATTAAAATTGGAGTTAAGTTGTCTTATAGTTTATTAGCACAAACCAAAGGCAGCCCGTGTTATTTCTGGCAACGATGCACTTTATCGTTATCTGCTCATGGCTTTGTCACAATGCTCAGGAATCAGACACTGTGCACTTCAATAGTTGGGATTCCAGAAGCTAATTCTAAAATTTAATGAAGGCCTGATTTAAACTGATTCATCTGCATTTTATCTTTATGAGGCTATAAGAATCTAAATTGATGAGGAATATCTTTCATTCGGTGTATTTAGATATAGTTTTCTGAATTTCCTGAAGCGATGTGATCTGCTTTAAATAAAAATTCACTTTTAGGTATACAACAAATGGAAATGAAATGTTCTTTTTAAATCTGGATTCTCAAGTTCTCCTAAAGGAGCTACTCCTTTGAAGAAACCTCAACTCAGTGGACTTGATTCATCTGTTGCTTTCCAGCATTCTTACAAAGCTGGATTCATCTACAATGTTATGCCCTAAGAACAGGATTGGGGTGAAAAGCGAGTACTCGGTTGTTCGTACATTTGGGGTCCTAAATCTTGTTCTTTTTTTCTCTTTGATACGTCCCTTAAAGTGGGTTAATATAGTCTTGCATATGAGTTAATCTGTCAACTTTCTCACATAGAAACGATAGAATTCCTTCCATCAATACAATTAATGAGCATAACATTTCAAAACATGGAACAAAGATTCAGCTATCTAGAAAGAATTGCTATTTATAGGAAGATAATGGACGTGCCCTGCTGTGATGTGATAGTTATTTATTTCTGACCCTGTACACAGCCTAGAGGAAGAATTTAGTCCAGCAAAGATGGGCCCTTACTTAGAGAGACCGATTCTGACTCTCCTCCAGCTTTCTCCTCGATACCAGGAACTTTAAGAGTTTCCTACTCAGATATCCCCCCCCACACTTTTAGGCCAAATGTGGGCCTCCTCTGGGGGCTTAAAATCCTGAAGGCAGGCAGCATCCTGAGTGCATATACCTGGCCACTAGGAGTGGCAAAGGGTGCGTCTGTGTGGGTGGATTAGGGCCTGGGGCTTAAGAGTGTTCGCTGTGGAATTTATACACAAGCAAGGAGAAGCCCTTTGTGGTGAAAACAAGAGCTCAGGGCTGGAAAATAAGGGGACGAGGGTTGGGAAGGAGATTGGCAAGGGCTACCATGAGGCTGGGGGCTGGTACGGAACACTGAACAGTCTAAGAATTCTAAATCTATACCTGAGCTTCCAAGGGTTATGAAAGCATCATGTGTCAAAGCGGCAGGGTGGAAGATAATTTAACAGTTTATTAGCTTTATGTATGACTTTTAAATACTTAGACATGTGGCACGGGATCCTCCATTGGTACTTTTGCACAGGGCCCTGCAAACATTTGGGGTTGATCCACCTGAGGTGCCCTTGAGTCAGATCCCTATGTTGGCACAAACTGCTCACCAGGTAACACAAAGGAAGGTCCAGGCTGGAAGAAGGCATCTGCTCCACGGTTCAACTGACCCTGTAGTTAATGCTCCCCTCACTTTCTCTTGGACCTGTGGCCTGACTGGAGTACAAGAAATTTGGGATCCATCGGGGGGCAAAGTGTGAGGAAATCTTGACATTGAATCTTTTGTTCCATCTCCTTCATCCTCTACCATCAATAACCCAGTATGATTGGGATGTAAAGACCCAGCGATCTGCAATGGGATGCTCTGTACGAGATGGGAAATGGGTTGTTGTACTTTACTGGTTGTTAAACATGAAATAAAATACCTATTTAACAGCTTCTCTGCTCACAGGATTGACCAGGATATGTGGGAACTACATTTGCTATGTATTTGTTCTGTGAAAAACTCTAGGTATTTTTGATCTGGTACAACTTGAAGCTCAGCTTCCCAAATCTGAACCAGAATTCCTTACCTACCTTTCCTACTCCCGGCCTTCACTGAGAAGGATGGCAAGGTGGCAGTGGCTAAGCTGCATTGGAGAACAATACGAGCCGCCAGGTAAAGCTCCAGGTTTTTGTGTTTTGTTTTTTTAAAGAAAACCCAATTAGAAAATTTTAACAATAGAGGAATGAAAATACAGATAAGGGATACTCTCAGGGTTTTGATTTAACTATCTGGACATGTACAATTCTTTCTCTGCCTCATGAGCTAAGGATTAGATTCTAATTAATTTTATTTCTAAGAAACATCAAATGCTCATCTGTCATAAATATTCTGTCAGTTCTGACCATTTCCATATGGAATGATTTTATACTTTTTGTTTTTACTTTCTTACACTAAAAGTAGCTTTCTCCTCTAGTTACCTAAGACAGATGCCAACAAATTCCCAGAATAAACTGCACATAAACATAATATGATTTCAGAAAGAATTAAGAATGCCAACTATCATGTTTTGAATTTTCACCAGTAATCTTGGGAACATAGTGAACTTTTACTCTTCTCAACACCTGGTAAGGTGTGACTCACATATTACCATCTTCATTTTGCATCTGAAAAATCAGATAACTAAGAAACAGACATATCGCTTGTAGAAATCATATTATGGCATTGAACTAGAAATAAGAAAATAACATCTGTGAAAAACTCATAATTATATTGAACAAAGTGTAGTCACTTGAGATCTGCTATGACAGAAAAGTTCTATCCCTAATCCATTTTTAGAGTAGGTCCTGGAACAAGTCTAGCAAAAAGGGCTGAATGATGTTAAGGGGTGTTGTTTACAGTAACATAACTGAGCATTTATTAAGTGCTGGAATCCCCCTCTGCCTTCTCTCATCACCTGAAAGCCGTTGTTCATTGAAGGAGGAATTAGAATGGAGTAGTAACATTTAAAATTATGTGATGTTTTTATTAAGCTAAAATGATAGCTGGTGAAATGGGCCATTATTCTGCAAAATCTAATTATGTTAACACTAACGATGTAGCTTGCCTGGCTGAAGCAAACTGCAGAGGATTGGAAGTAAAAATAATCCTCATTTTCTTAACTTAGTCCCACTTTTTTCACAGGCATTTCTTTTAACTATTATTAAATTAGTGAACTAGGAATTCTATGGGGAAAAATGACTAAAAAGAGAAAAAATAATTACTACCCCTCCTACATCTGCCTGAAGAGATTCCGAAATTCCTGCATGGCAAGACTGTCAAGTTCCGCTGAAGATATAATGTACCACAGCTGTATCCTCCAGCCGCCCTGATAGTACCACATTACAGCTTTGCTCTTACAAGGGGCAGTCATTCTAATCTAATAAAAGACAGAAAATGGCAGAAAATCGCAGCACCTGAAGTCCTGTTAAGAATAGGTGATTCTTTTTGCCCCAGGCAGGCAAGAACATAATGTCATTTTTGTTCGTTTGTATTTGCACTCTGAAGGAGGGCTGCTTCTGTTGGGGAATGGTTTTCCCTCTGCCAGTGTGAAACACTGCAGGAAAACATTCTCCAAGGAAATCGTATTTTGCTATTTACCAGTCATGACTACCCCATGAAGCCCTGAGTAATTGTTTTGGCTTTCATGGTGTGATAAACACCTCAAGGCAAAGAGATTAGTGTCATTACTCTCCGTCTCTTTTTCTCTTCTGTTGGAAAAAAAAAATAGTAGGGGGTGTCCAAATATAGTATGACAACGTTTTCAACAATCCTTCCGTCAGTTGATGCTTAATTATAAAGACTCCTAATAAATATTCCTTTTATAAAATTAATAGCTTGACAAGCAT